GTTAGCCTGAACTTCTGCCAGGTGGGTGTGCAAACGTGGAACCAGTTTAACTGTGCTGATGCTTGAAGGAAGGGACTGCAGAGGGTCTGGCTAGGACGGGGTCTAGGCTCAGTCTGCTGAGTAAGGGTGAGAAAGTCTCTCCTGTGACTGAGATCTGGTCTGGCAGAGAAGGGATGATGTGCTGCCACTATGGCCTCCATGGCACTCTGAAGAGATGCACTGCTGCGTGTGCCAAAACTATGCAGTACTTGATCTATAGCCCCATATGCTACTGCCCCACACCGAGTATTCCAGAGACTCCTGGTTCCTTTTCTTCAATGAGCATAGAATGATGAGGAAACTCGGATGAAGCCAAGTTTCGTTTCAGTTCCTCCCCTATTTAATTTTCAGTTCCTCTTTCACGTATGGAGTATCAGTTTGGAGCAGAGCTGCTATAAGAGTGGGAGTTCATGTGTGTGGGATGGGATTGCACTGGGACCAGTTAGGGACTCTAACAGAACAGTGGTCCCAGCATCCAGAGGATCTTCCTCGGCAGTCCCCATGGAGCATGGGGAGCAGGAGGGTACAATGTCCTGCCCAACAGTGAGTTGCTGTTCAGGAACACATTCTTCTCTAAAACAAAAGGAAGAGATCCACATATCCATACTCCATGCTCATCCAAGGAAACCACTGCCCTGTTTTTTACAAGAACTTCAGCATTTGGCAGTGCTGAGGTTTCCCTTATCATCACTGATAGGGACTATGGTGTTTGCAATACTACTTTGTTGGCAAAATCAGAAGCAAAGACAGAAATATTAGTAACTCATAATAGAATTAGCACCTGCAAGCATAATGGCTTAAATTTGGTCTTTACACTATTTTCATCCAACATTTGCTGGCCACCTCTATACTGTCCACACGCATCATAGCCTTTGTTTAAGAATACAGCCATGGCATCTGTCTGTAAAAGACCTTGGTTTTCCTGTAGTCCATCAGAGAGAGATGAAGCAACACAGAAGTGAGTCAAAGGATGTTGAGACAATTGCAGAGCTTCCCGTAAGCAAACCATTGGTATCTGTCCTTGCGAGATACTGGTGCTGACTGTGTGAAATAAAGTAATACCAGGGGCCCTAAAATCAAGTCTCGACCTACTTGGTACTTGGGATCACTATAGGACCATATTAAGAAAGAGGGATAGCAGGAATGGATAGGACTTCAGTTCCAGAAGGGAAAGCAGGTGTTAAGTACAGAAATTACAAGCCTGCAGTAATAATGTGTGAAATTCAGTACCCTCCAGATTCTGGAACAGAACCCAGGGTTGGATTATCCCAAATTCCTCATTATGGGGTGATCATGCACAGCAGAGATAGTCTGCTGTAACTTTGTTATCTTCAAGGCCAGAGATCTGTGCAGTGAAGCTGAGGGACCCAACCTGCTGCCAAATTCCTCACGAGCTGGTACACTCCTACGCTGCAGAGTTTATTTCTTCTTCAGTGGGCTTTGGCAAACAATAAAGGGGGACCATTAATGAGAGAGTTCAGGAGCTGTCCCAGGATATGTCCCAGCATTCTGTGCTATTGCTTGGAATATGCTGGGAAAGAGACTGGTTTTGTGGTTCAGACAATAGTTTGGGGCTATCATACGCACTCTTCTCTGCATATGTTACTTGATTCTCAGCCTCTGGAAGGAAAGCTGTGGCTTTCTCACCAAACCTGCTTGGTTTGGGTAAGGATCGTGTATGGGTAAGGTGCAAAGGCAGCCCCTCAGGAGGCAGACATGGAGACAGAAATCAAACAGCTTCCTTAGCTGTTACTGCAGTTACTGGGGTGGCTGCACTGGTCAGACTCTTCCAGGAGTTCTGTTTTCTGCCCCGTGTTTCATTACATTAGCTGAAACTGTAGTGAGGTGAAACTGAGAGAGATGTGAGACGGAAAAACTCCCCTGCATGGCAAGTCCCAGAAGTTGAACAGGGTGAAAAGAATGGTTGCACAAACCATTCTGTTTGTAAGGTCCGTGTGATGAAAGTATGTTATCAATGCCATACACCAGTGCGCAGTTCTGCATCACCTGCACAATGTGATGCTTCCAGGGGTGTAATGTTTGGGAAGCCTGCAGTGAGGTATTTTCAGTCTTAACTGAGAGTAAAACCGAATAAAAGGATGATGTTGGACATTAAGGCCGTACTGCAGGTGTCACAGTTGTGTGAGCAAGTTCCTTGGTAGTGCCGATACATGGCTGTAAAGAACTGGAAATAAGTCTATGGCTGTTGGAGCCATGTTAGAAGTGTCATAGCATAGTGAAACAAAGCACTTCAGTAAACACTCATATCACAGAATCACAGAGTGGTTTGGGTTGGAAGGGACCTTAAAGCTCATCACAGCTTCTCTGGGCACCCTGTGCCAGCGCCTCAGCACCCTCACAGGGAAGAGCTTCTGCCTAAGAGCTCATCTCAGTCTCCCCTCTGGCAGGTTCAAGCCATTCCCCTTGGCCTGTCCCTACAGGCCCTTGTCCAAAGCCCCTCTCCAGGTTTCCTGCAGCCCCTTTAGGCACTGGAGCTGCTCTAAGCTCTTCCCGGAGCCTCTTCTCCTCCAGGCTGAGCAAGCCCAGCTCTCTTAACTGGTCTTAACAGTCCAAGCTTGCTTCACCACATCAATTCATTCCTAGAGCTGGTCCATCCTGTGCAATGGCTCAAGCATATAGTCATATAATCTCATAGGACTGAGTTGGAGAAGACCTCAGTTAACGCAGAGGTAAAACTTGGATAGCTTAATTTTTCTACAATGAGGTATAATATTTTCATTAGTGAGAGCTTTCACAGAAAGCTGAATGAAAGTGAGGTGTTTCAGTGGCATCTATGGAGGGGTCCCACACCTCTGATCACAGAACAGGCATGGTTGTGCTAGCCTTACTAAGACAGGATTTTCATGTCATGCATTTTTAGGCAATAGAATAACACCAAGAATAATGAGAACATGTGCCTTTGAGTAGGCTAATGTGCAAGGGAAGTTTTCACTTGTATCATAAACTGAGATCAGGGAAAAAATCAAATAGTAACATAAACTGTGAAAGCTTCTGCTTTCTCACATGTACAGCAGGGTGAGGGGAACTGTAAACTGGTAAGATTAAACCTTAGAGAGCACAAACACACGGGGTAGGGATAGATGGTTGCTATCCTACTGATTAATTCTGCATTAACCGTGCTAGCCATTGGCATGCAAAGCATGAGATTTGAGTCACACACCCCATAGAGACCCTTTGTATCTCCTAAGCTAACTTGTTCTGTTGGGATTGGGCTGGCTGAGTCTCCCAGGCTGTATTTCTGCTCTAGGAGGGGAGCTCAATCCTAACCAGCATAGGCTGCATCTAAGCTGCAGCAGTGAGACAGGGTTCACACTGGCCTTAGGCTGCCTTGGAGCCTGTGACCTGTCTGTCTGAGTACGCCTGATGAGGCACGAACACAAGATCATTCTCAAGTTCAGTGCCTCCTGAGGGCCATTGCAATCAGCGCTTTCTGACACTGAAGAGAAACATAAACTGGATTTTTGGCTCCAAAATCATTAAATGTTCCTTTTATTCTGGGTTGTAACACAATTGGAATTTCACTCAGACTGAATGTGGAGAAGGACACATCACCGGTTTCTTTCTGTTGGTACTGTTCACATGTCTGTCAGTGTTTGAACATTATATTCAGCCAGCAGCTGAAACTCTGTTCCCTGGATGTGGCTGCCTGTGAATCTAGTGCAGTCACTTCAGACCTGTTCCCCTCATGTCAAAAAGCATTTCCTGAACAGAGACTAGTTTCCATGGGATAAATAATTCCATTTCACACATTTTCCCTTGTTCTTTTGTATTCCTTCCTTTGAAGGCAATGCAAACAAACAAACAAAAAATGAGTACATCACATGCCTGGTTTGCCTTAGGATGTGGAAAGGCAAAGTGGAGCTCTCTGGATGTGAGCCAGGAGGAGGCTCTTGGGTTCATAGCTGCAGCACTACAGGGCTGCAACTGGCAGTCTTTAGCCATGCATCGTATCTCTCTACCTCTGCCTTATTCAGTGTTCCTGATTGAAAGGACCAAATGGGGTTCATGCCACCTTTGGGATGATGCCTTCTTTGCCAGTCTCACATCAAGCAGCTCTGTAAATCCCAAGCTACCAAGGAACCACCAGAGCTACTGTGAAGCAGGAAACAGTGCAGGGGGTGCAGTGTAATGGGACCATTGCTTGCACTTCAGCTTCACCTTTTTATTTTCCTTGCGCCCTGAGCCTGCACTGAGGGGAGGAGATGTACAGCCGAGGTGGCACCTGAACCCCGGCAGCAGTTCTGTGCGTGCCTGGAGAGCAGGCAACAGCATGACCCTCATCTCCTGCTGTTCTAATGATCCGGATCACTCCTAGCAACCTGACTCCTTGTGATCCTGTATGTGGATGATATGGATCCAGACTGTATCTAGATCAGTAATGTATGCACTGATAATTGCAAGCATTATTAGTATAGAATCAGCATACTGATAAACCCACTTCAGCACACTGCTCCTGTAGACAACATGACTGTGTAGTGTTTCTTCTTAAAATGTCTGAAGGTGATAGTGTCCCTGTAAATTAAATTGGGGCAGCACCTCCATGAGCAAGTGCTTTGACCCACCATTATATCCACATGAAATCAGATGAGTGCCAGATGCATGCCTTTCTTTCCCAGGCACTTATTTTACACTTAGCATTTTACTGCTTAAAGAGAGGAATTTTCATAGTCAGGTCCAGATGCCATGGGACATTAAATACACAGGGGGTTAATTTATTTATCTGCCAAAGGATGTTCTGTGTAGCCAGGGCTCTGAGGGAAGGTTTCTTCATGTTCTGGACAAAGCTAGGACAGATGAGAGGAGAAATGGACTAAAAGTGTTTGGATGCATTGCAATCTCTAGAATGCCAAACCACATGGTCCCTTTCCAGATTGTGTCTGGTTAGATTTTACGTTATCTAGGTATTGATTTAATAGGTTGGGGTTTTTCTCTTTTCTCAGCAGAAGCCCAGAAAAGCAGCTCCTCAGGCAGAAGATACCTTGAATGGCCATCTTCCCCCCGGCTGGCAGAGCTATATGTCACCCCAGGGACGAAGGTACTATGTGAACACCTTCACGAATGGTAAGTGGGGGTGGAGGCTCCCGTAAATGTGTCACTCTACCAGTACAGATCTGCTGTAGGAAATTGGCTCTGAAGTTGATTTTGATGACAAAGTAGGCCCCGAGTCAAAGGAGTTAATATGACCCTGTCACCATATGAAAGACCATAATTATAAGAGGATTTAGTATTCTGATTGTCTGTCATCTTAATCCCGACCATTAGAAGACATCTGAAGCTTTTACAGAAGATCAGAGAATGTAAAGTAGAAACACCCCTGCCATAAATGTTTTAGAATATAAACCCCTGTGAAGGGTATATTTTTTACCACATTCCTTTTTTTCCTTTTGCTTTAGCTGGAGGCCTGTGTGTCTGTATATGTGCTTGTTTGTAAAAAGTGTGGTAGAATGTCAGGTATCACTAAAGCATTGCTAGGGGAAAACAGAAAGTTAATTGAAAAGGTGCTTGGTCAGGGTCACATTGCCCATGGAGACAAAGGAAGAAAACCACCCGATTTTGGGACGTCAAAGACAGAATTTCCAGTGTATATTTGTGTGTTTTATTCACTGTCATGCTAGTAGAGAAGCAGGCAACTAATGATCTTATCTGCTGAAGACCTGTCAGACTGGTACCACCCCCAGCTTGCCTAAGTGTACCTGCTTTTCTCATCATGACCTCACAGCAGCATTGCAAAACAGAGACTTGTGACCAGCAAAACCAGATTGCTTTAGCAAAAAGAATGACAGAATGACAAAGGAGGAGAGGATATCAAGAGTTCATGTTGTCCATAACAGAGTCAAAGCCATCAGGGGTGACCACTGACGTTCCATTATCTGACTCACTGTGAGTGCAAGGAGGGCCGTGGGCTGTCACGTGCCTCATGGTCCATTCAGGGGCTGATGTGTTTTACTGCAGAAGGCTTTGGCTTAAAACTTGGCCAAATAATGATTTACCTGAGTTTTATGCACTGAGATCTCGTAGCACCCTCCAGGAGGTACATTGCCATGAAACAGTGCCTTCATTTTCAAGCACAGTCTGCTCTGGCTCATGAGCAGCATCCCCTGCATGGCTGGGGAGGTCAGCAGGAGTTAGATATCCTGTCCCCACTGCAGTTCAGAGGTGGGTTAGGAGGTGATTAAACTCAGTGCTGAGCCAGTACGGTGGTGGACTTATTCACATGCACTGGGTTGAGCTCGGATAAAACCAGTAAGAAGCAGAGCCCAGTTTTCATGTGATAAAACTCTTCATTTGCAGTCTCCATGAAGTCAGTGCAGCATGCAAAGCTTGCTGTCTTACAGTGGGATTGCACCTTGACTGTCAGGAAGTATTGTTTGGCTTTGAGCCATATGATAAATCAAAGACAGTATGTCTAAAGCTGCATTCCCCATCTTTCCTATGGTAGAGCTGCATTAGCCTGGATAATGTTTATTAGAAGCTCATAGACTGGACAGCTCACTTGAGTGCACCTTCTGCCTTGTCTCAACTGCTTATTTGTCCTGTCACTGCTGCAGTGCTGCTGGGAGTTTCAAGATGAACACTGGCAGTGTTTGTTATAGGGACATGGTGCCAGCACACATCTCTCTGTGGCTGGTGTGTCTAAGTGGTTTAATTGTGGCTTTTTTCCACTTCTGTCTTTCTCAAGCCTCTATACCTGCTTTGCTGGAACTAGCTGTTGTTAATACATCGTTTTATTAGAATTGTACATTAACATAGGTGCACTGGAAGGTGAGTTTGAGGTAACTTGGGTGACAGCAAGGCCCTGTTCACTGAAGATTATGGTTTCAGTTGTAGGACCTCAGCCCTCCCAGGGCCTTCTGCTGTGTGGAGCAGGTGGAGAGCTGGCACCAAAGGGCTGGACCTGCCAACACACAGCAGAACAGTGGGACACAGATTTGGACTGTAAGGTTTCCAGGGGCCTTGTTACACTGGGCTACACTAAAAAGTGAGTTTGTCTACTCCTTCATTTAGAACCTTCTGACAGAGAGCTGTGGAAAAACCACAACTACACTGTGGGTTTTCCTTCAGGGCTGATGTTAGGTAGCAAATTGCACTGTGTTTTTGGTTGAACAGCACTCTGCAAGGTCTCCTATAGCCTGAAGCCCACAAATCCATGTTCTTGCTTTCTTTTTATACATGTAACACGTATCTCTTAGGCATTGCTATCATTCATCCTCCCTTTGGTCATCCCTTCCATCATGTGTCTCTTGCGGGTAGAAGACAGACATTTATCTCAGCCTTATGGTAGGCATATGTGGAAGCTCCAGGCATCGAGTTCATTGTCTGTTCTTATAAATGTCGGATCTGGACATCCACAGAGTGGCATGTCCTTCTCTTGGAGCACTCCAGCTGTCCTGTGTGCCCAACCACTTGCCCTGTCAGTCAGTGAGAGGCATATCCCAGTGTGTGGGGTGGGTATGCACCAAGCCCAGGGCTGTGGCTGATCCCTGCGTGGGATAAGAGCACAAGAGAGCATCCCGTTGACCCACTCTGGGGCCTTGCTAGCACCCACCTACTGAAAATGAGTGCTAGCAAAAGCAGGGTTTCTTGGCAGGTTCATGGCAGTTTTAGCACTTCCATCACTGACAGGCAGTGGTGGGAAGAGGTGTGTGCCCTCTCCTATGGTAGAGTTGTGGCTAAACATTTATACATCCTCCAGGCAGGGCAGGTCTGTGAGCAGAGATGCCAAAGGCAGCTCACTTAGAGGAAAGGCAGTTTGAAAGCAGGCTGGATAGAAAGCAAACTAAAGGAAAAGGGGACCACAGATAAATTAAAGCAAGATGGTGCAAAACTGCTTGGCAGGTCATACTTAGAGCATGGTAATCAATGGTCCCTTGTCAAAGGGAAGTTTGCATGAAGGAAATCCTGCAGGGATGTGCCCGGGGTATCGTTCTAGTTTGTATTTCCAGTAATGAATGGCATGTTGACATTGAGAGCACTTATTCAAACAGTCTATTTGAAATGAAGCTGGGAGAGAACATGGTGTGCTGCACAGAACAGGCTCAGAATTCACAAGCCTCCTGCAGCTGAGGGCATGCTGGAAGACTGGGATGCTGTTCAGTAAAGATGCACTTAAGATTGAAGAGTTAATCTGAAATAATTAAGTGACAAAGACAGATGAAGGAGCAGTTTACAGACAAAGACACAGGGGCTCTGGAGGATCTAAAACTTGAGTGTAAGCCAGCAGTGTTGTCCTAGAATACAAACAAGCAGCATTTTCCATTGTATAAATAGGAATGTTGTCTGGGAGGCATGAAATAAGCATCCAACTTTACAAGGAAATTATAAAGCCTCAGCTGGAATATTTTATCGTGTTTGGACTTTACACTTCAGGAAAGATGTGAGCCAGTTGGATAAAGTCCAGAAGAGAGTAGCAAGAATGATGGGAGATGTGCAAAACATGGCCTGTGGGCAAATATTAGAGATTGGGTCTGTCTGCCCTAAGAAAGCAAAGTGGGGACATGAAAGTAGGCTTCAAATGCATAAAATGCTGTTGCAGAGAAGACTGTTTGCAATGCCTGTCATCACTAGAAGACACAGTGACACACTTCAGTTGCAATGGGGACAACTAACTCTTCCTAGCTCTCTTAAGATAGTAAGTGTGGGAGTAGGGAGTTGCCAGGGAGTCCGTATCACTGGAGGTCTCTAAGAGCAGGTTACACAAAATGATGAGGTCACGTTGGCCTTGGTTTGGGGCACAACAGGGAGAAAATGATTTCCTGAAATCCCTGTCAGGCCTGTTCTTTCAGTCTGTAAAGCCTAACCTATATGAAAAATATTTATCAATGCAGAGGGTGACAAATGCCTGAGACTCACATGGGAGTTGTTCTTTATTTGGTGTCTTTTTGTTTCCCCAATTTTAAGTACATCACATCTAACTTAGCTGCTGTCACTCAACTGCTGCGTTGCTTTTTCTGGTCGTCTAAGTCAAAGAATCTTGATATGAGTTCAGAGGAAGGTTCCTCTGAATATGTAAATAAATGAATAAATATCCCCACTGTGCTTTGGGGTAGATCCTGCTTCTCCCTGCACAGTCCTGCCCTCCTGCTCCCTAGGGAAAGGCAGGATTAGCCAGCAATGCACAGGGCGGCAGCAGCCAGTGGGCTCCACACCATGCAATCTGCTGGAATGGAAGCAAGGAGGGGACATGGCCTTTAAAGAAGGTCAGCAAGCAAAAACTATACATGTTTTGGTGCTGTGGGGCTCTATGCTGAGCCCTTGGTTTAGCTCTTCTCCTGAAAACAGGAGGTATTAAGGTGACCAGCCCATCCAACATCAGCCTTTCTGAACTTGCTTGGCACTGCCCCATCTCTGCTCCACCATTTGCTCCCCTTCTCACATCTTGTAGAAGCCTTTTTTTCTTGGATTAAGTAGTTTTTTTTCTCTTGGTGCTTGCGCTGTTCAGAGATGGGAACTCACGTACTCATTCCCGTTCCTGGGGAGGGGAGATGGGATTGCAGGGGCAAGCAACACCTTTATTCTTTTGAGCCTTCAAAATACAACAGAACTCTCCCCTCCTTGTGAGCATTAATATCATGGCCAGTTGTTTCCAGTGGTTAGCGTCCTTCCACATGGTGATTATCTGCCTGTGCTATCCATACATCTTATCTGACCATAATAGTATTTCCACCATGCATGTTGTTTTGTGGTCTAAATGACTTTACATGAAAAACACAAGGAAATTGGTTCACAACTGAAAAGAAATAGAATTTATGAGACAGTGTTCTTATGTGGAAAAAATGGTCTTAGAAAAATCTGTAATGAAGGAATTGGGGTGACTGTAGGGAATGAACAGATTTGCACAGCCAACAAAGACAGCACATTCCTGTCTATCTCCACTTGATGGCTCAAGAAGATAAACTATCCACATGTATCATCCTTTGAAACTGATTGGACTCAATCCCAAAACCATTTTTAAAGCCTCTGACCTGTAAAAGGTCTGCAGAATGAAGCCCAAGTGAATTTCAATATACTTAAAATTTGTTTTCACAGTATGGCCTGCTATAGGAAGCTTGAGTCTGCACCAG